TTAGAACTTGTAGGTGCAAGTGACCAATAGAGTTTGGAAATGCTTTTCTGGATAGGAAATTGGCTACTGATCCATTCTTGATTGGAGCTGCCCTAACTAAGAAAGTGAAGTTGGTGAGTCATCCCTTTGTTCCTTTGTGGAATGATTTTGCACTTCTAATCTAATCCTTATAAAACATTGTGGAGGAATGTTTACTTCTATATCTCTCTTTCTAAGTACTTAGATAATAAGCAGGTGTGGGAAGCCAGCCATGGCCCACTGGCTTTTTGAAAGACAACATTTGTTCCTTTTTAAGGACTGCACGTGTTAAACTTGTTTTGACCCTGCACGGGAGAAACTCGGACAGCCCCGAGGGCCGGGCGAGGGGCGTGGGAGGCGGGCGGGGCGCGCTGGGACCACTGTGCAGAGTGCGAGCTTCCCGGGCCGCGTGGACCAGGTGTTGAGGCCCGTGTGAACCCTCGTTCCCGTGGAGCGGGTGTTGAGGTTACTATGGTGATCCTAGCCCATAATAGTTCGGCCTTTCCCTTTAAAAGGCCGGTGCTTGCCGGCAATAAACGTCGCCTTGATCAGACTCTTGTCTTGGCGTCCTTCCTTTCTCTCTGCCCCATCTCCACCCCGCTGCTCTTTCAGGTTTGAGGCACTGCGGGACAGTGCTCTGCGTTGCCGGTTCGCGACAAGCAGGAACTGTATCTTTCTCATTCTTATTTCCCCATCACCTAGCATTGATACAGAAATTCCTAATAAGTTTTCATAAAAGAATGAATTCAAGAATTTGTAAAATACTCTTTATATAGTTTTAAAATGCTTAAAGCTATGGAATGCAAGCTGCAAGGATCATTTCAAGAAAATGTGCACACAAAAAAATAAAAGTAGACCAAAGAATATCCCTAAGGGGAGCCACATTTAAAGGGACAAGGGAAGGAGGAATTACAAGTGGTTACAAAAAGAAATATGAAGATTATTATAATAAACAGCATAAACAATCAGTCTTTCTAAATACAGAGGTAGCTTATGATGTCAGTCAGTGCTGTGGGAATTGGAAAAAGAATTTAGTAAAATCAGAACATTTGTGGAAAAGATCTATTCTCCATTCTTAAGGCAAATTTTTCCAGAGTTAATAGAAGCCTATGGGTTCTATGCTGTCATTTACACTTGTCTAGACAATAGATGTTTCTATTACTGTTTCAGGAAAGGTACAACCCACCAGATGAAATTAATAAACACACATTTTCCTTTAATATTTCTAGGTGCGTTGGTGCACATCTAAAAATCCCAGCATTTGAGAGACTGAGGCAGGGAGATCGTAAATTAGTGGCCAGTCTAGCCCACATTAGGAGTTCCACACCAGTCTGGAGTATAGAGCAAGATCATGTTTCAATAACAAATGCAATAACAAAACACACAAAAGCTAAATATTTCCCCATAATTATCGCAACTCTTACAGTTCTTTAGTATAAGAGTACTATGTGCAATGAAAATCTCAATAAATTGCTTTTATGATGATTAAGAAATTCACCAGAAAATAATTTCAATTTGGTTCATAATAGTAAATATAGGTGATGAAAGAATATTCTTCTTATTATACTTAAGAATAATTTCTAAATGGTACAGTACTCAAATTTTGTCCATTTATCTTAAAATAACTTCAGAAATGTTTTGTTTCTCTTTTATCTTTTCTTCTGAACACAATATTCTATAACTCACAGTATTAAAATATTGCTTTAAAAGTATTCTAATGTACAGAATTCCTGGTAGCAGAAACATCTTTACTGCTGCTTCACTTTTATTTTTAAATTAAAGGTTGTTCTGTTTTGAAATTATTGGTGTTGTGACAGTAATAATAACGTCGATTTTCACAAACTGCAGAGCCTTACCACATACTGGGCACAGCACCAAATGTTAGATGAAACCCTGCTTCTCAATAACATTTAATAGAAACTGTGCATGTCACCCTAGTCTTTTTTGAGCGGGGAGGAGGGTTTTTGAAAGAAGCTATAAGTGAGATTAAACACAAAGGAACAAAGTTTAAAAACAATGATTTTTATATTGAAAGTATTTTCGTTGGATTCTGAATACTACACTGATGCAAAAAGTACATTTTATGTTATAGTCTTTTATAGGCACTAAAACAAAGAGTCACAGTCTATATTTCTGGACATATAAGCATGAGCTATGGAAAATTAAAAAATAAGGATAAAGAAAATATAATTGACAGTTAACTCGAAGTCAAATAATGAGTTTCTCTCAAGAAATGAATTTATCACTATTTTTCAAAACAATTTACTGCTTCAGTCTGAAATTTTCATTAAGGTAATGCTCTATCAAGAAAATAATCGTAATATTTATAATACTGATAGATTGTCTATATGTCAAATTGACCATACACTGTTAACAAGTAAAGCAAACAAAAGATATATTTCTTTCAAAAATGATTAAAGCACAAACTTGGAATCCCAAGAGTGTTAATTCAATGCCTACAGAAGATTCCTTTGAGAAGAACAGAGCAACTTATTCCTCAGTATTCCAAGAACTCAAGGTTTTATCTTCATTATCATGGTTTGAAAAGTCGGCAATCATCTCACAGGGAAATACACAAGTCAGGTTTAAAAGGTCCCCGATTAAGTAGCAACATTCATAAATACGAAGAACCTTGGAACAGAAGAGAGACAGCAGGAAACACTCTCTAGGGAGAACTGTACCGAGAGGGAAGAAAACACTAAACTATAATCAATATAAAGAAGAAACTTTAGAAGAGTCAAAAACCATTCAGTCAGCACTGAGCTGAGTAGCACATGGAATAGTCAGAGCAATTAACCCTGGCACATGAGTATTCTTGGAGCTTTCCATTTACCATTAATTGAGCTATTCATTTAACAAATACTTTAAATTCACAAATCATATTCAGAAGTCTCTGACTATTCAAAAATGAAATTTTGAATCTATAAAAGTCTAACAGTATTTTCAATACTCCAGTTCACCTAATCTGATGTTCAGTTTAACAAATACAGATGAAGAATACACTATATAAAATGCAATGTAGAAGGCATTAAGAAAATAAGGTAAATTCTATGTTTAGTAGACAGGAAACCCGATCTAATAATTACAATATTTTTTTGATGAATACTTCTACAAATGAGCACAAAGTACATAACTTCTTCCTAGTGGTATCCAGGTCTGTGGTGGGTAAAATAAATGACGAGCAAAGGGATTACAAGAATTCCAACGAAGGCTTCAAGGATGACATTGCCCTTGAGAAAGATTCCATACAATGACTAGCAATGTGCCAAGAAGATAAAAGCAGACAGTTTTCCCACAGAAGGCCCAAGCACTCGCTCTTGGACAACTTGCCATATGAAAGTGCTGCCTTCAAAGACCTGCAAGTAGTTGAGTAGTAGGAGACCTTAGGGTAGAGAAATAAATAAATAATCAAGATGAAGTGGAAGAGCCCCAGTCAGGGGCCAGGACAGGAGGGGCATGATGTACCCTGTGGGCAGGGAAGAATAAAGATAAAGCTCAGGCTTAGGCTTGAGTGAATCACTGAATCTTTGTCAGTCAAAGTAGCAAAGAGTAAATTGGGGATGAGGAACCTGTGGACCCAAGTTAACATCATCGACACTCCATCAGGATGGGCGGAAATTTCAATCTGACCGAGTTTTCAAGACCAGGTTGTTATTTCAGTTTAACAGAAAATGTTTCCTGAAATTAATGAAAGCTGCTAAATAGGATCCAATCATCTGCAGAAATATAAACCATAAGACAAAAAAAGTTTAGAGGACATTTATCCTGTCTGATAGCTTTGTTATTATTCTAGAAGTGATTTTTGGTAATTTTTAGATATTTTCACTTTTGAGTAGACCTCAATTTCAGCACAAAAAGAACCATGTTTCTTTTTGCTTAATTCTTTAATTATTAATCATTATTATTTCTAACGTACACTACAGGGATTTAGGGATAACTCCACAGGGATAACTATATTCTGCTATCCTTTTGTCTAACAGAGAAACAGCATAACTGAAATGAAAATATGACAGCATTTTACAGATTTGGGTTTAAAGCCTTAAAACTTTGATTTTAAAATCATTTTATCTTGAAAAATACAAAACACTTATATGTCTCTTGTGTACCGATTTTTCCTTATTTGAATGACCACTTTGCTCTCCTAAGAGATTCTGCTTTGTATGATACAATCACATGTACTGGAATATAAATGCCACCGTGTTGCATGGGATCTGGATGTAGCATAATATAAAAATGTAAATCCACTATATCACCCAAGGACAGTCTTTGAAGAGCATGTTTTATAAGGTACTTGTTCTTTATTGACTTTTAGTGAACAAACAAAAAATGAATGCATACTTCAAAAGTCATACTTCTTTAGATGGTATTCATAAATTTTAAAAATTGCACCTAACATTTAGGTTCTCTGAACATGACATTTAAAAGCCTAGACTCTGAAGCCAGTCTGCCTGGTGTATCAGTGCTTTCCTTTGCTATTCTGGAGCCCCTGCGCAGGGTACATCTTTTGAGCACTTTCTTGAACTGTTTTCCATAAACTAACCCATTTTAGGCAGTAGGAATACTGAACTAAAAAGCCCAAAAATACTCATTCAAGTAACTGCCCAGCTAGGGGTCAAGGCTGCCTGACTCTAAGATCAAGGTTTATAATCATGCCCTCAGAACTTGGAGGCAAGAGGATAATGAGTTCAAGGCCAGCCTGGACTAGATAGCAAGAACCTGCCTCAAAACAAAAGAATATAGAAATATAAACTCTACACTGTAACTTTCATTTTACAAATTTTGTTAAATAATTACTCAGAAATGGGCAACTACAAGTTTACTGAAGCCAGCAGCCAAGAGTCTTTAATGAAACAAGGATAGATCTCCTGAAGGAACAGGGATTACTTCTAAATCCTGTACCCTGGCTAGGCGAAAGTCGTGCTGGAGAAGGTGCTGTGCTTTAGTAGCAAAATAAGCTGCTAACTCTCAAGAGATTCTCATACCTGTATGGCAATGTCCTGAGATCTTTTTAATGATATGCCACAGTGAGCAGAGTCATCGCAAATCTCTTGTCCAGTGAAACTTCCAAGTGCACTCCATACCCATGACACAGCAGATGAGAAACGATCTGAGGAAAACATTGAGACCCATGTACAGGAATGTGAACACATGCTCTCTCACTTCTCTCCCATAACAAGTGTTTTTTTTCTGGTTTAAGCTAAGCCCTTCACTAGAATTTCAGATTCTGCCCCACTCTATTTTCTCAGAAAACGTACGGACTTATCATGCTTTGTCCACGTTACTCCTAAGTATGGCCAACCCTCCATAGTCTCTCCAGCCTCACTGAGTCCACCCACTACCATTTTTCCTCTCTGCCCATAAGGGACAAATTTCTTGAAGGCATCATTTATATTTTTAAATTTAAATTTCCTTTCTAAGACTCTCTCTTTGGTCCAAGAATCTACCAATAGCACTCTAAAGAATATTAGTATATTACAATGAAATAGCTTTTACTGAAATTATCTGTAAGCTACAAGTGGATAAATCAAGTCCTTCCTTATTTGATATTTCAGGAGAATTTCACATGTCCTATTTCTGAAATAAAGACTTTATTCTTCTGCAGAGAGCTGTACTTGACTTCCATATCAATCTATCCAACTGCCTACGTGATACTTCAGCTGATGTCTCAAAGGTACATCAAACTGCACTCCTTCTTCCTCCAAAGGCATCCCATTGTAATCTTCTCTGTTTCTAAGAATGGCTCAGTCATCCATATAAGCTTACATGAGTTCTTCTTTAAGCCCCTTCCTCGCCTCTCACCCAATTTGCCATCAATATTGATTTTATCCATCCAAATGCACAGCATAGTCCACATAGTAAAAAGATCCTCAGCAGCCTTGGCACATCACATGCAATCAAACATATTAATATTTCTGCAGTGAAACCCTGATTCCATTAATTAGACTAAATACTACCTATAGCTTCACATCCGTTTGCTTCAAGTTTTACTGCCATATAAATTCAGACAGTTCAAGATTTCCTAACAAATGTAGAATTTGGTAAGATTTTTCAGTTCTTAGAACTGCGTTCTAGTTCTGGCTAAACAATTACGAATCAGTGCCTCGATGTATTAGGAAGTACTGTCACGTGCATGATGGTCAATAGTATGAACCTTAGAACCAGGGAATCTGCTTAGTTCCATTTGTACCACTCACCAATGGAGAGCGACTTAGAGAAGTGAGTCTGTCTGTGGTTTATATTCTTCACTGTAAAGTGAAACACAAATTACCTATACTAGGGGATGTGGGATTAAATGCACGAATGCATATAAAGTGTTTAGAACAGTGTTTGAAACATAGTAAGAATTCATTGTTAATCCTCACTAATACAGTTATAAACAATGATATAGATCAATATCTTTGTATTTATGTAACTATGAAAATTTCTTAACTCAGAGGATTCCTGGGTCAAAGGAAATGTGGTTGAAAATTTGGGTAAATAATAGAAATCTCCCTCCCCCAACTTTTTAACAATATTCCCAAAGTGGTTTCATGAGGTCAGCCACATCCCAATATCCTCTCCAGCACTGGGTTAACTCAACCAATTTTTGCAAATCTGAAAAGTAGGAAAATAATTATTATTTTGCTTTCCTTTCTTTTGGGGAGAGTTATTTACTTGTTTGTGGGATTGAACCAAGTTCTTGAAACTGGGTCTCTCTAAATTGCCCAGGCTGATCTCAAATTTGCAATCCTCCTGTCTCAGCCTCCGGAGTGACTGGACTTGTAGGCGGGCACACCACACCCAGCAATACTTCGCTGCTAATTTCTTTCATCATAAGAGATTCCATTGCATTCTTCTTTTTTAAATATGAGAATTCTGTTCCTTTTTTAATTATGAGAAAATGAAATATTCCATGTATTTTTATATCTGAATTGTCATGTCTTCTGCCAATTTTTAATTATGACATTCCTGAGATTTTTACTATAAAAATCTTATTTAAAATAATAACAGAAACCTTTTTCATTCTCTTGCATGTGTGTGTATTTATCCATACATCAATATTTTAATGTCACCCGTATGAGTTGTCCTGCGTCTGATTAGAGTGAGCCCGCCTCAGAAAGCCTGTCATAGGAGCAGCCATCAGGAAGCGGTGCACAGGCGCTGGGAGAGGAATCGGAGAAGAGCAGCGGGGCCCATCATTTAAGCACATTTCCTGTGCAGATCTCGGCAGTGAAGTCCCCCACTCTGGAGGTACAGGGCCACTCCTCCGTGATAGTCCAGAGATCAGCCCCTCCACAGTGCCTTTGGGACTCTCTCCTGCAAATAAAATTTTAAAAAAAGGAGGTTGTGGCATGAGCTGGAGACCCATTACTGGTTTTTATCACAGAGCCACAACCGGCATTCATTCTCCCCATCCACTTGCCATTCTAAATCTCCCATGATTTTATTATCTCAAAAGGTCTGGAGAGGACCGAAGGCTTCCATCGTGAGGGTTGCAAGTACGCAACAAACATTGCTGTACTCGTCAACGGTTTGAGCTAGTTCACAGGCAACTGAGGTTTTGTTCACAAAATCTTTTCCCACACCAATGCCTTCAAGAGTTCTACCTAACCTCTCTTCCAGATGGTTTAATGTTTCTGTTTTAATATTTAGATCTTTAAACCATTTCGATCTTAGTTTAGTGCATGTGAGAGATATGGGTCTTCTTATTAGAAAGTTTCTGCACAGCAAGCGGGAAGGATGAACCCACAATGTGGGAAACACTTCTCACCAGCTCTTCCTCAGACAAAGGTCTAGAATATATCTAGAATGTATCTATTTAGAATATATCTAGAATATATAAAGAACTTTAAATAAATCAGACCTCCCAAATTTAAAGACCCAATTGAAAAATGGACATCTGAAATGAACAGACATTTCTCAGACAAAGAAGTATAAATAGCAAATAAACGTATGAAAAAATGTTCAACATCACTGGTCATTCGAGAGATGCAAATGAAAACAACCCTGAGATTCCATCTCACTCCAGAAAGAATGGCTGCTATCAAGAAATCAACCAATAGCAAATGCTGGCGGGGCTGTGGGGAAAGAGGAAGCCTGCTCCACTGCTGGTGGGAGTGCAGACTGGTGCAGCCACTGTGGAAATCAGTATGGAGAAACCTCACAGAACCAGGATTAGAGATTCCATTTGACCCAGCTATTCCCCTGCTAGGTATCTTTCCCAAAGAATTAAAAGAATCATACCACAGTGATAAATGTACATCCATGTTCATAGCAGCACAATTCGCAATTGCTAAAACTTGGAAGTGGCCCAATTGCCCATCAGTGGGAGACTGGATAAAGAAAATGTGTTTTTTTTTCAGGATCCCAATAATAAATGTAACTGTACTGTATACTTAAAAAGTACCAATAAACTCAATGAGAAAAAAAAAAGAAAATGTGTTTTTTTTTTTTATAAAATGGAGTACTACTCAGCCACAGAGAATGAGAAACTAGAGACATTTATAACTAAATGGATGCACATTGAGGTGATACTCTTAAGTGAAATAAGTAGGATGCATATGTGTAAATACCAAATAGTTTCTCTAGTATGAGAAACTGAAAGTGTAAATAAGGACTAAAAGGTATAATAGATAATGTGAAATAGGAAGAAATGGTGCAAAGGGGAAGGGGAAATGGAAGGGATAAGGTAGGGGAAAAGAAAGATGGGAATGGAATTAACACGAGAAAAAGAAAAACTGGAAACAAAATCTTTGTAGACAGGGAGGGGTGGAAGGGTTGAAGGGAGGGCAGGAGAATGGGGAAAAAATAAGAACCAAGATGGATTATGTAAAGGTGCAAATGTCCAATGATGAGTGTCATTACAGTGTATACCTTAAATGTACTAATAAAATCAATTAATTTAAAAAACCAAAAAGCACTGCGGTACTTATCCATTCCTGGGTCAGTGGAATAAGGAAGTGCCAGGAAGCACACAAGTACACCTGAGCTCCACACAGACTGCTTCTTGTCTCGTGGTATAAAAGTGTGCTTTACCCACTCTTGGCCAGAGTTGTTCACCTCAGCCATGATAATGACTCTTGCTTGCAGCTTCCTGGACACAAAAATCCAAAGGGCACTGATGGCAGATGACAACTGCTGTTCAGTGGGAAGCTTGCTGTGTCCCCTGTCAAGAGTTAGCCTTCTTTGGAGAACAAGATTTCCAAATATGCAAATGCAAAGTGGTGAGGACAGGAAGCACAGTGTCCCAGGGAGTTCTTGAGAAGGTAGCATGTAAGGCCACTCCTACTTTAGTTCCTTTGTTCCTGGGCCTAGGACCTCCCTGAGAATTGTCGAGTCTTCTGACTTAAAATATATATATATATTTTATCCAAAACTGTAGTACCCCATTTGTTCAAAGTTTTACCTCTGAAACTGTGTGCCTTCAGAAGGGTGTTCCAGCATTCCATGATGTCTGACGCTTCTACGTGGTCTCTGACTTCAGCCGGTTCGTTAAAATGGAGTCTTGCAATACCTTCAGTCTATATTCTCTTCCATATCAGGATTAGCAACTGAAATATTTATATGAATAAATGTATGAATATTCTGGGATTTAACCTCGATCAGCCTGCAAGCCAGGAAAGGAACTAGGGAGAGATCCCAAAGGGGACACAGTTATCTTAAGTGGATGAACCACTGAAAAGCTTTCTAGAAAAAGTGAATGTATATTCTTCATGCTCTGAGGATTCCGGAGGATCTGCAGTGCCATCCGACCCAGAATTATCAACCCAGTTATTGCATCTTATATTTCAGGATTCCACGTCTCCATCATAAACAAAACAGACCATGTGTTGATAATGAGCATTCAGATGTCTGTGGAATACTCACTCTCACTCTGTCCATCTTCATTTTGCTCTGATTTGGAGGATAAGGGACCTTCATAAGCTACCAAGACACTTCATGTTTCCTATACTCACTTTAATGGCTCCCGGTTTCTCAATCTCCCTCTGCAGGAGGGTAATGCAACTTGGTCCTAACAAGCCAGTTCTGCTATTTTCATGAGCCTTGTCCCCCACCACTGCCACCAGCATCCCTTGAATGCCTGAATCAGCACACCTGCTAAGGCGTTCCCCTGACCAGAAGGTTTCCCAAGTTAACACTGATGAAATATTTAGCAATTGAGCCACCAGCTTGTGCCAAGGGATGATCTGCTCAGGATGGTATCATCTTTGCTACTACTTCCAGGTCCTCATCCCAGAACTATCCTATTGGACCACTCTCATTACCTCTTGTGTTCCTTTAGGTCCACTGAGAAGCACAGAGCAATGTGAGATTATCCATACCGGAAGTTTATTTGAGAAGGGAGCAGGAGAAGGTAGAGGGAACCTTGAGATTGTGATTCTCCTGGATAGAGAAAGGGAAGTAAGGATACAGTAGGAGAAATCAGTCAGCAGCACAGTTCTAAGAAAAGGCGAGCCAAGCCAAAGAAGCATCCCTGATCCAGAAACGCAGAGAAGAGCCCACCGTCTTTGCGGTAGGGAGTTTGCCTTTGTACTCTCACCATGCTGAGTCATTGGCTGAGGGCATCTTAGGAGAATGGCCCTAGAACAAAGTTAGTGTCGGATCCTGGGGGGCTGTGGATGAAGCAGTTAGTCAGCTACGCTCTTTGTAGGGGGAGATCTAAGCAGTAAATTTTCATGACTGTCACTTCTGGAATTCTACTCTACTACAGTACAAAATGTAAGATTCCTGATATAAAATAGATAACCAAGTCTTTTAAATGAAAGCCTGCAGATAATACTCTAGGTTATTAGATTCTTAAAAAATAATCTAACATCTCTCCTTAAAAACAAAATGTAAATGGCTTATGGCCGTATTTTCTCTCTCTTTTCTGAACATATTTTATCATGATTATGTTTTGAATTATGGAGGTAAACCACAGTTTCACTGTAAATCAAGCGAGTATCGGCATATGTTACCAAAAGCAAATGGTACTGTAGAATAAAATGTTAATTTGTGGTATTGATTTTCTAATAATAGTAGATGCCTGCAAGACCCATGATCTGCATTCTTTGTGATGGTCTTCCCCAAACCCAGAAGTGTTGTTCTCTAAGCATTTACATGCTGCTACAAAACTGAATAGAATTTAAATTGTATTTTAATTTGACTGGCTGTGTTATGAAATTTGGCTATAGTCCCAATTCCTTTCAGTCTCAGAAACAGCTCATACCGTGCTTTAAATGCGTTAGAAGCAGTATTTATAACAACCGTTGTTTTTCCTATTAATGCATTCTAAATTAGCTTCTTTTCTAGATTGACAAGTTCCACTACAGCTCAGGTTGCCAGGGATTTGAATGTAAAAGGAGTCCTGATGGGTAATTAGCAAACTGTACGAGCCCCTGGAAGAAGTAATATTTTTCATAAATACTCTGAAGTACAGATAGTATATGCTTAGTATTTATTTTCTGCTAAATTTAAAATTAACTCATGTCATGGGAAGCAATGCTCTTTAGGATTTTGTGTTTTTGAGTCTTTCTATAACCATTCTTTGTGATCTTTGATGCTCACTTCCTCAGAATTGAAGAGACCACTGTACATAAGATCCAGTGACCAGAAATATAAAGAGAAGCTGCATCTTTAAAGATTGACCCTTAGAGCCATTGCACACACAGGGTCACTGTGGGTGCCACACGGATGGATTCCCTTTGCCCAGCCTGCAGTGGCTACATTGTCGCTTAATGGTCCCAAACATTCCTTCCTCTGGAGAAATGCCCTGGACCAATGCCACCCCACCTCCTCCCCCTATGAGACAGAAACACGCAGACAATGACTACCAGATGTGGTGGTACAAAAGTTCAGCCCCCTTCTTCCCTCCAGACAGGACAAAAACTCTAAGAAAACCAGTTCTCTGGCAATTCCCTCAATAAATCACTTGCCCATCTCAGACTACTTGTGAGGAATCCAGCCTAACAAGCACATTATAATAATAATAATAATATAATTTTAATAATTTCTGGAGATTTACGTAGGAAACACTTTCCTTTAAACAACACAGTAAAGTTAGTGGCAATGAAGTCCTAGAGGAAAAAGTTAGACTGTAAAAAAAAAAAGAGTAGAACATGATCCCAACAATGAATGTAACTGTACTGTATCCCTAAAATGTACCAATAAACTCAATAAAATTAAATTAAAAAAAAAAAAGAGTAGAAAAACACACAAACTCCTGCAAGGAAATTCACCTCCATGATTTAGCCAATAAGTTACTGAATTTGAAATCTGGAACAAACAAAAATAAATTAAACTTTCTGTACTTGCTCTACCTGTGAAGAAAAGATTAGAATAAAGACACACATGGCCTGAGGTAAAACTCATGGAATCTCCAGTAGCTGTGAACAAGTTTCTGTGTGGAGAAGGAAGTGAGGGTGAAAGGGAGACACCAGTCATTTAGAAAGATCCAGCTGTTACATGAATAGACTAAAAATGAAAAGTAAAATGTTCCTTACAATATAAAGCTGTGGAAAGAAACTCTTAAAATCTCTACCTTATTAAAAGATATCAGGCACAGAAATTAGTGAGCATGAAGGTAGTCTTTCGGGACCAGAAGAGAATTTTTTGAAATGAAAAACTTGATCACCAATTCCAAAACTAAACTGAGACGTCTTCTGTCCAACCCTGAAAAGTGGATTAATCATGTCTTCCAAATTGCACATGTTTTGACAGAGTAGTGTGTTGTTGTCCGTGGAGGGACTGCCATTCCCAGGGCTAACCAATTCCTAGAGTTACATAAATGACTCACTTATTAGCAGGTCTTTCTTTCACCATCTACTCAAGCTAGAACTCATAGCTCGAGTCACCACCTTTACCAGGCTCTCACACCCTGAGACATGATCTGTAGCCAAATCGCTCTGAGACCAGTTGCTGGACATCTAGGGACAGTTGATAAACTGTTCCTTATTTCCATTTGAGACCTCTCCACAGTGATCTTTAATATCCATATTTGTACCAGCATTCTGTTCTGGATGTATATCCTCCAAAAGATGGAAGTGTTCTTTCCAGATCATTTTTCTTTCAGATTACTTTCCAGAATCCCCTTTAACATCCATATTTCTATTAACAGCCTCTTCACAGCAGTTTTTCTTACCATCCTTCTCAAAACTACTCTAGACTCTTACTGATCATCCAATTCCAAAGATCCTAAAAGGATTTATTCCAGGCAAACACTGCTTCTCAGTACCAAAATTTTTATTAGTCAGCTAAGGCTTCCATAGCAAAATAATATAGATTGTGTGGCTTAAATAACAGAAATTTATTTTCTCACAGTTCTGGAAGCTGGAATTCAATGATCAACATGTCAATCAAAGGGGTTTCTGGTAAAAACTCTTCTGGCTTGCACAAGGCCACCTCCCTACAGTAACCGCAAACCATGCAGCCTTTTCTCAGTACATGCACATGGAGAGAGAGAGAGGAAAAAAGGAAAGAGAGAAGGAAAGAGGGAGACAGAATCTGGTCTCAGAAGGACACCGATCCTGTCAGATCAGGGTGTCACACTTATAACCTGTTTTAGTTTAATCACTTCCATAAAGACCCTATCTCCAAATTCAGTCACACTGACCTGTGGGGCTCCAATATATGAATTCTAGAACACGAACATCCAGTCCACATCACCTGTTTTCAAAAGATAATAGGAAACAGGGAGGTAGAGATTTCTCAAATGGGATGGGGTAGAGAGATAGAAGGAGGGAGAGGGAGGAGAGGAAAAGGGGATGAAAAAAGAATTCTCATGTGTTATGTACCTGTCTCAACTCCACACAAGGAATGTAAACTTTATGTACTGAACACATGTACTACTAAAAAAATGAAAAGAAAAAAATCCAAATAACAAATATGAAATATGATCAAGCTCTTTTATCTTTAAAATAATATAAATGAAGACATAGTAAATAACACTATGTACATTGGATATATAATAGAATGTTATAATAGATAATATATACTAGACATTAACAAAGTTATGAAAAAAGTAGAATTTTTTTTTGACACAAAGTTTCTCTATGTGGTTTAGCCTCACCTTGAATTTATGACCCTCTTCCTTCAGCCTGTGAGTGCTCAGAATATAAGCATTGGCCACCATGCCCAGCTCGCAGCCAGAATTTTTAAATTCACCAGTAACAGTATTAATTATTATAACTACCTTGAAAAATACTGGCTATTGACTAAAAATGGATATATGCATATATTGTGGCCTATAAATTCCACAGTGATGTTAACTAAAACATATGCTAAAATGTTTATAGCAATATTAGTAATGATAACCCAATTTTGGGGGGGAGGGAAACAAACCCAAATGTCCACTAATACAATAATGTGTAAATAATGTGAGGCATGGTCATGCAACAGTAATGTACCGCAGGGCAATGAAAATGATAAAAATACTCATTTTTAAATCAAGTTCCCAGAAACAGGCCAGAAGATAGGGATTCAAGCCCAGCTGATTTATTTGGAAGGCAACTCCAGAAAATATTACCAGAGGAGTGGGGAGATAAAAAGAGAAGAGAACATAACCCA